CATGAAACAAGCATAAACGGGCGATTTGTGATTTTTATAGAAGTCGACAATTTCCTTCACTACGAAGATACACATTTCTGTTGAATGCTTGCGTTTAAATCCAAACTGAAAATCACTAGTCTCGATAAATTTTTCAATTCGATTTAAAATGCACAACTCAAATAATTTTGATAAAACGGTTACTATAGCAACAGGTCTATAGTTATTCACTCTTGTGATATCTTTAGTCTTATCTTTAACAATTGGGACAATCATTGTATCCATAAAATAGTCTGGCAGGTGTCCATGAACAAAGAATGCAGTAAAGCACAAGGCTAGTAGAACACACAGTATTTGATCCGCAAATATGATATGTTCCAAGCACAGTCTGTCTTTTCCAATACATTTTCCCTTTTCATTTTCTCTTTTCCAATTTTCGCATTGTTATTATAATTAAGCGCCGACCAACACACATTATGGCAGTCGTTGGTTAGAATTTGTAAACATTTGACCTAGTTACATGATATGATAACGGCAATACACTAGTCAATTTTGCGAAATTAGAACCTCATTGCGACTAAACACAACTAAACAACTAACCTCAATTTATGTCACATGGTAACTTTGATGATATTCGTTCATTAAAGTTGATGGTACGAATAATAAATTACAATCAAACAATCTGGCAAATAAAGTACGCGTTTTATTTTTTGAAGGAGAGTTGTTTTTGTGGTAAATAAGATCATGAACCTCATGAACATATTCCTGGCTACAACATTTCAAATATACATTGCAACATTAATAAATTTATAGTAATGTTTAGTCTGCAGCATTTGCATATTGAAAATGTTTCATATTTAGATTACAACTATTCTAAATCCTTCATGGAATTTTTTGTCCAATTTTGATTTTGTAATTTGTTCAATTCTACTGTAATGCAGAGTAATCTTCATATTAGTATTAAGATAGGTATGCACTACAAAGAATATGTTTTAATTATTTCAAGTTTGTTTGAAAAAAGCCAAAGCCAGCTGAAACCCAGCTTAAGAATTGCACAATATACAGACCAGCCAGAAAGTATTTATGCACTTGTCATTTGATTGTTTTTGTAACAAAAAATAACAATTCCGGGTAACATTCTGTGTTGTTTTTGAAATACCCCGGTAGACTAAATTTAAGATGACCTAGTGCATTTTAGTCAAAATAAATTTGTGTTTTTATGTATGTGGACATTTTCTCTGTGAGAGAAAATCTCAGTGGTTAACTATGAGAGCATTCTTATTTGCATCTCATACAACTTAGACACATCGCAGCATGACTGTAATTTGCCAGACAACTCATGGACTGGACGAAAAAGATTAACCTACAGCCTGCAGTGTACAATCAAATATAAATCTCAGAAAGTTCAAAAGTGTAAATTGACTTTATAATATACATGTATATATTTATTTTTTATTTAGATGTAATAACCTCACCTGCTGCAAGACCAAATGGTTTGTTCATCTCAAATGTTAACGTCGAAAAATACAACAATACTTTTGACATTGTTATGTTACCAGAAAATTGTGGATTTGATTTTCCATTAATTGGGATGAAAAATGCGAGTATTATCTCTGGTAGTAGAGATGCTGATAGTGACTATGTTGAGTACTGTACCAGTGCTGCTTGCGGTGATGGTGCTGATATTGTCATTAATAGGGAGCAGTCTGCAACACCGCCAGTTGGTGGTACATTCCAGATTGAACTTGGTGGAAAAATTGCAGTAGGTATGTTGAGTATGGTAATTGTTATTTTTGGTCTCTGTCAAATGTAGTCCGAAATAGGAACTTCTGTTTTGTGTTCCACCCATCCATCTGTTTGTGTGTGTTTGTTTGCACCCATTTTACATCAATTATCTGACATATGTGGACTGATTTTGTTCAAAGTTGGTACAAAGTAAAGTCATAATAGATTACATATGCATGTAGATTTGTTGTTGGTTGACAATCAGCCATTTTCTTTCCATTTCTCAGATACACTTTAGCAGATTTTAGCAAGGTTTTTTTCGACTCAATAAAATTGAACCGACTTGCAGCTATTTCTAAATTCACAAAATTTGTAATAAACCATTACCATTTTCAGGTTAGCTTTGACTAATATTTTTCAAAGTTGGTACAAAGACCAGTCATAATGAACTACATATTAAGCACATCCTTCAGTTTTTTGTTTTTCGATTACCTTTAACTGGCTGGTCACACATTCTTTTGAAAAAAACATTGAAAATCAATATTTCTCAAGCATGCCTTGGCCGATTTTATTCAAACTCACTATTGACATGACTCATGGTAGGTTACTGATGCCTGTCATTTTGTTTTGTGATAGCCATCTGGTGGTCATTTTTTTTAAATAAGTCTTCTTGTTTCTTAGATACGCTTCCACAGATTTGTTTAAATTTAATACAAAGACAAGACATAATAGGTTACATGATCATCTTTGGTATTTTTGAACTGGTGGCTATTTTTGTCACAAAATTTGGACATGCCATGAACAATTTCTCAGGCATGTCTGGGCAGATTTCATTCACACTTGGTGGAAACATCACATATGACAAGTTACTAAATCAGATGCACATCAGTTTTGCAATTTGATTCAAAGTGGCCAACTGGTGGCCATATGCTTCGATCGATTTAGTTCAAAGGAGGTATAAAGACAAGACATAATGATATACATATGCATGTTGATGACCTCTAATTGACGGGTGGTCATTTTGGTCTCAAAATACAACATTTCAACATATCTCAGGCATGTCTTGGTCAATTTCAATAAAATTGATGTGATCAACATGATGGGTTAGTAATGCGCATCAACATTTATTTTCATGAGTCCATTTCCAAGACGTGCTTTGACCGTTTTTGTTCCAAGCTGGTACAAAGACAAGACATAATGGTATTCATATGCGTATTTGTTTCAACATGTCTTCAACCATGTCTCTGGTGTGCCTGGTCCATTTTCATTCAAAAGTGATGTACTCATGGAGGTTACTGATGCATATCATTTATTTCCGTGGATTGATTCAAAATTGGTGACTCCTACCATTTCAAAAAAAAAAAAAAAGATTCAGTATCTGTGCAGGTTTCTTTCAAATATTTGAATGTTTTGCATGCACAATCAGTCTTACATATTATATGGACTTGGCACATTCCAAATGTATGTTTACATCATCATAAATTGCATGTGTAAACTGAAAAATTATATGTCTGATCCGATTATATTTGGTTTCAGCTTTAACACATTTATTTTTATTTATTATATATATATAGCACAATGGGACCACGTCGTGTTATTTTTCGGATTAGTTTCAAAATGGCAGACTGGTTGCCATTTTGTATTGAAGAAGACAGTTACTAATCCATCTTCCTGACATGTCACATGACTTAGATCAAGTTGAAACTTTGTACTTGCATTAGACATAATGCCATGCATATACATGGGCATTTGTGTCATGTTTTAATTTAGGATTGTCAAATGGTTTAAACTTGGTACATACATTGAACAATGAGACCTTGATACACATCATTTTATTTTTCAAATCAGAATCGAAATAGCTGACTGTTTGTCAATTTTAGGCTTTTCTCATTGATATTTCAAGTACTAATCACCACCCTTCAATGGAATATGGTACATAGATGCTCTAGGACAGTGCACAGACCTGATTAGTTTTGGGTTGCAGTCTGTTCATATTAGTTGCCTTATTTGCATAATTCATAATTTTTCGGCTTTTCCATCAAAATCTCAATTTCTTATCACATTTCAATGAAACTTGGTACATTGATGAGTTGTGACATTGCACAGAACTTATTAGCTTTACATTAAAATCTGTGCATATTAATAATAAGCCAGTTCTCAGTTTGTCCATCAATATTCCAAATACTTATCTTATTTCAATTATTCTTGGTACCCTGGTATATAAATTAATTTTAGGTTTAAATGTGCATCCTTAATTACCTAATTTCCATAATAATTTTCAGCTTTTCACCAAGTTTTTAAGAATTACTCATTACATAAGTATGGAATAAGTATTTATATTGTATCAGTTTGTAATAATACGTCTAAACTTTTCATTTTCAAAACTGTGGATTGGATTGCTCTCGAATTGTGCATCTCAATGAGCAAAGCTTCTTGTTCAATAGGCAAATCTTAAATTTTTATTTCAATTTAAATATTTGTCTATATTGCAGTACCAGCTGATGCTACAGAAAGTGATATTGAAGAAATCTTTGACAACAGTTTTGACATGGGTGTGTCTGCAGAGAGGATAGGCACATGTTCTGGCTACACTTGGACTATAGAGTTCACCAAGGCTGGTGGAAATCATCCTCCTATGAGCGTAAGTTATTTGATTTAGTTGGTTTGACTCCTGTTGTCAGCTTTCTTGTCATCAATGCTGAAAGAATGGCTTTTAACATTGTGTATGGTAAATTTCTGAAGCAGATAGATGCAGTAATACAATACATCATACTTTAATTTGTAGGTTGACAACAGCGGTTTAACTGGCTTGGATGTAGAAACTGTAACAGAAACATTGAGTGATGGTGGATTATACCTGTTTCCAATTCCTGGTGATTATCTGAGAACTCTAGATGAGACTCCTCAAGTAACTGTCAGTGTCAACCAGATTCCTTCTACTTGTACTGGAGATTGTAGTTTTGAATTCTTGGCTGACCTTACACCACAAGTGACTGATATATCTCCAAATTCAGGTATTTTATAAACTTTGTTTGCCAATTAGACATCATAAATGAACAACTATTACAGTATTGTTTAAACAGTGCCCTCTATGTTCAATATAGTGTCCTCATGCTATTAGTTTAAGATTGAGAATACCATATTTACTTTATTAGCACATACCTTTATGTAATTAACAGAGGTGTGTCTATGGTCAAAACAAGTCATATTTCAATGATCCAGCATACAATAGATGCAAACTTTTTGGCTTATGTGAGCTTCTATTAGAGATCTGTTTCTGATAGAGCATATACAGGATTCAAACTTCATTCTTTTGATACTTGTAATTTTTGACTCCCATGTGCAAAGCACATAATGGGAGTCTTTGCAGTTAGTGTGTCTGTATGTGTATGTGTGTGTGTGTATGTGTGTCCGTCTGTTCCACTGCTATCTAAAGAACCGTACATCGGTTTTTATTGAAACTTGGTGCATAGATGCTCTGGGCCAATGCGCAGATTTGATTAGTTTTTGGTAAAAATATGTGCATATTAATTACTTAATTTGCATGATAATTAGCTAATTTTTAGCTGTTCCATGACTGTACCACTGATATCTAAAGAACCACTCATTGGATTTTGAGGAACTTGGTACATAGAGGCTCTGAACTTATGTGTAGATTTGATTAATTTTTGGTCAAAATCCGTGCTTATTAATTACCTAATTGGCATGATAATTGGCCAATTTTTAGCTGTTCCATAACTGTTCCACTGATATCTTATCAACCACTCATTGGATTTTGATGAAATTTGGTACATAGATGCTCTGAACTAATGTCAGGTTTTGATTAGTTTTTGGTAAAAATTCGTGCGTATTTAATTACCTAATTTGCATAATGATTGGTTAATTTTCAGTTTTTCCACTCATATCTCAAGTACTAATCATCACATTTCAAGGAAACTTTGTACATACAGGACACTGTACATACATGATAGTTTTTAGGGTAATATCAGTGCATATTAATTACCATATTAATTTGCATAATTAATTTTCAGCTTTTGATATTTCATGTAGTAAGTATTACATTTCAATGAAACTTGGTACATAGATACTCAAGGACTATGCAGAAATTGATTGTTAGGATAAATATTTGTGCATATTAATCACCTAACTTGCATATTAGTTTATTTTCAGCTTTTCCATGGATATCTCAAGTACTAATCATCACATTTCAATGAAACTTGATACATAGATCCTCTAGGACTATGTAGAGACCTGATTAGTTTTAGGGTAAATAGTTGTGCATATTAATGACCTAATTTACATAATTAATTTTCAGCTTTTCCACTGATATCTCAAGTACTAATCATCACATTTCAATGAATCTAGAACTATGCTGAGATCCAATTAGTTTTCGGTAAATATTTATGCATATTTATGCATATTAATCACCTAATTTGCTAATCATCACATTTCAATGAAACTTTGTACATGGATGCTGTAGGACAATAGACAGACCTGATTAATTGTGAGTTAAAATATGTACATATTAATTACCTAATTTGCATAATTTTAAGCTATCAGACTGATATCTAAATGACTAATTATTCCATTTCAATGAAATTTAGTACAAAGATGCTCTAGGGCAATGTACGAAGTTCATTAGTTTGGGGTTAAAATCTGTTTATATTAATTTTTTAATTAGCATAATAATTCATAATGTTTTGGTTCTAATCCCATTTCAATAAAACTTTGTACATAGATGGTCTGTTACATTGTGCAGACCTCATTAGTTTTACCCTCAAATTTGTTCATATTAATTTTCTGATTTGCATCATTAGTTTTCAGCTTTTCCATCAATATCTCAAGTACAAGTAATTTTGAATTATTTTAATATGTCTCCAATACTCTCAGCACATGGGAGTTCTTTCTAAGCTTTCTTTGATATTTATTGTTGTTGTATTGAGGTGTTGTACAACTCATCCTTTGGTTAGTTTTGATGATGTGGCCAATTGTACATTTTTGAATAATAACATCAAAAAGTTCAAATTGCTGTGATTTTCTTTATTAAAAGGTTCAGCATCTTCATCAACTGAAGTGACTGTCCAAGGAGTTGGATTCAGTCAAACCGCAGATGACAATAAAGTCACCATTGGTGATGTGAACTGTGTTGTTACTAATGCTTTAGACACAATGATAATGTGCCTGATTGGTGAAGCTCCTGGTGGTACTCAAGATGTAGTAGTGTATGTTGCACCAGATGGTTTAGCCACTCACCCCAGTGGCACTGTGCAATTCCAGTATGAAGTGGGAATTACTGATGTCCATCCATCTAGTGGCAGTACTGGGGGTAAGCCTTTATCCATGTCAACACTAGATTATGAAGGAATTTAGTAGTGTATATTGCACCAGATGGTTTAGCCACACACCCCAGTGGCACTGTGCAATTCCAGTATGAAGTGGGAATTACTGATGTCCATCCATCTAGTGGCAGTACTGGGGGTAAGCCTTTATCCATGTCAACACTAGATTATGAAGGAATTTAGTAGTGTACATTGCACCAGATAGGCTAGCCACTCATTCTACTGGCACTGTGCAATTCCAGTATCAAGTGGGAATAACTGATTTCAATCCATCTAGTGGCAGTACTTTGGAACGATGATTTTTCCTTGTTTTTCCAATGCTCATTTGTTGACTCAATGGCATTTAATACAGACCATGGAATAATATGTTGGTATTGTTTTATACACCTAGCAAGCAATATCATCAGCCTATTGGCTGACAATGCAGCTGTGCTTCAAGAAATGTTACCTTCAAATCTATTATCTACTCTTTTCCTGCAACAATATTGTATCAAATTAGTGACCACAGTAATATATCTTCTGTACTGTACTTTATACTTAAATAGTTGTTTGTCAATGATTGTTTTTCAGGAGGCTTGGAGATTACAATTACAGGTTATGGATATTCAAATAATGTTGATGATTTAACAGTACTCATTGGTGGTGCACTCTGTGATGTGACATCATCAAGTCAAAATACCATAATATGTATATTACCAGCTGGGGTAAGTTTCACATTTACTGATATCCCTTTATAAGACATAGTTGTTGGAATTCAAGATTCATCCCAGTTTGTAGTCGATTAATCAAATGTTGGGTTTTTTCTTTATTTTTGGTTATGTTAGATGCTAGTTTACAATATTATCTATTTCATTTGGCCAGATCTTCCCGTTTTTACACTCAGACAAAAAATCTGTCAGCAAAAAAAAAGTAAAAACTAAACATAAATAACCAAAACTATACTGGGTAACTAATTCAATAAAAATTTTAAAATGATAATATAAGATCTTACTTTAATCATATTGATAAATCTTAAACATTCTTGTATAATAGGTTGCAGGCAGTGTTGATGTGAGCGTCAGTATTAGTGATGTATCAGCTACCAGTGTGAATGGTTTTCAATACGATGCCAGTACTACTCCATCTATTACACAGTTGAGTGTCACCCAGAGTAGTGTTGCAGGTGAGTGTTACATTAATATTAGCAACTACATGTATGACAAAAATAACCCTTGTTTAAATCTTTTGTATAGAAATTTTATGTTCGGTTCAAATGATTTAGTGGTTTTATTTTCTATAGTTGGGGTGGTGAAAGGAGAGGGTAGAGTTAGTTAAAATAGTAGGAGGCATATGGATTAGATGAAATTCAGGATGGGGGCTGTGATAAAAGCAAAAAAAAGCATGAGAGCATAAAGAACAGATAAAGGAGAGGATTAACATCACAATATGAAAAGTGATAAGAGAGGAGAGAAAAATCAAGGAAGAGCGTTAACATTTACTATATAATAATTATATACTGTATTTCTAAGGTGGTGCAGCATTGGTTGTAAGTGGTACAGGATTTGGTACAGATGAGTCAAGTAGTGATGCTCTGAAGATTGGTGATGTTCCATGTCAGCTGATATCCTATTCTGATAACACAATAGAGTGCATATTACCAGCCCAATCACCTGGTGTATATGATGTCAGACTTTATGTTGATAATGTAGGATATGCAGATTCTAGGTAGGTTAACTGTAAAAATCATGGTTAATTTCATTACCACAAAAAACTACCAAACAAACTATGCCGTATTTATCCGGGTATAAGCCCAGGGTCCTGAACATGGAAAATTGCCAAAAAGAAGGGGTGGGCATTTGCCAGAAGATCCCAGGCAAAAAAAATGAAAATTCGCGAAAATTGACAACACACAGATCGAACTGCGGCAGAGAATAGAACGGCAAATGAAAACATGCAACGGAAATAAATGAACAATATGCAACACTAGAAGTAAAACAAAAATAATGTATTGCTTATAATGTGACAAATAAACCAGAAATAATAAAAATCGACAGTGAGGAATCATTTGAATTAGGATTTTCCCGCCGACAAACATGCCCAATACGCGTGAACTCAAAATGAATTAAAATGTCAGGGGGTTAAACTGCATAAAATGATTTCCGGTCTCAACGAATTACGAATCAACCGTCATACAAGATCAATAATAATTTACAAATTTACACAGTAAAAATTATAAAAATTCATAGCTGTTTGAAAAAACTTCTCAGATCTTTATTTGTACGTTCATTGCCATCTTCGTCAAACTCAAAACTCTCAAAGTCCAAGTCGGCATCACTGTAGCCGTCGAACAAAATCCCTACCACTTATTCCTGAAGTTCGTCGATATCGTCCCACACAATTTGGACTTAGCACTTTTAATCCACGGATTTTGCAGTCTGCCAGCTTGGCACTTTTCATTCATGTCTACTCATAATAAAGAGACAAGAAAAATGGGGTCGCTCTGCTCCGATAGCACGCGATCTGCTTTTGTTTACAGTCTGGCAATCATCTTTGACCTTTATGCATCTGCTTTACTGATTGGCTAAGAATGACATCACTACTAGTATTTCATCATAAAGGTCAAATCGTGACATTGCTTTCTTATCAGACTCAACAATCTGATTCAAGATGGTCGAATGGCGACCATTTTTGTTCTTCGAAATCAGGCATTTCTGGCATTTCGGAACTAGATCTCGGCTGTTTACAGATGGTTTTTGTTCAAACTAGTACATACACTGGTCTTTATGGACCTTGATGCATGTCATTTTGTTTTTTCAGATCGGATTCAAAATGGCCGACTGGTGGTCAATTTGTTTTAACAAATTTGGTTCTCAGACATTTTCTGATCAAACATTTTCAAACTTTAGAACTACATCATAAATCATGTTGTGTGTATGCATGTGTAATCATTTGACAATTCAACTCAATATGGCTGAATGGGGGCCATTTTGTTTTAATGAATGCAGTTCCAGAGTTTTGGAGCCATATCTCTGAAATTCTCTGACAGTTCATGTTAAAACTTTATATATTTCTTATTAAACTTGAAAACTGACAGAGACTGTGCAACGTTTATTCTGTTTTCATTCTTTGTCAAGCAGTTCTGGAACAGCTATTACCTATCAGTTGAGTGTGACTGCAATCAATCCAGGTTATGGATCCATCAAGGGAGGCACTCTGGTAACAATATCCGGGGAGGGATTCAGTAATGTCAATTCTGAAAATGTAGTATTATTTGGTAACATTGAATGTCTGGTTATAAGCAGTAATTCTAATGAGATACAATGCATTGCTGGAGACAGTGGCACTACACATAATGTTGATAATTCAGGACTTCATGCAGGTAAGAATGTATTTGCAATATCATGAGCAAACACTGCATTTTTTAAGGTAGAAGCCTAGTCATAATTTTTGACAAAATTGGTTATAAATCACATGACAATGTTCATAAGTTTATTATGTACAATCATGAAGCCAATGTCTCATGGCACAATGAAATTGCATTATTTTGTGTGTTACAGTTACGCTGTTTGAGAAACGTGTCCTAATATTTAACAATGTTAAAGAAAAATTGCATTTTTTGACACTTTTTAAAACCCAGATTTTTTAAATACTCCATCATCAATACTCCATGATTTTTTCAGCCTATGTCACCAGGCTAGATTTTGAGATATTGCATAATATCTCTGCCATAGGAACCTGTGGTAAAAGTGTTATAATAGTGTAAAAATGGCGACTTTCCACTAAAATACAACCATCAATTTCTTGAAAAAAAGGCTGGTGACCCTATATTTTTTAGGTCAATATCCTTGTATTGCCTTGGAGTACAATTTATTGCAAAATGAATAAATTCTGGTTTTTTAATTTATGAGTAGGCTTCTACCTTAATACAATTGTATTGTTTAGTATCTTTAAAAAAATGTCATAAAGTTTTTATTACTGTTTTGTAAACAATGATTATTTTTACATCTAGATTCAAGTTCCATACATTCCCAATTTTTATGACTTCAACTTTCAATTAATTCTAATTATTGCAGTGTAATTCTTTAAAATTGACATACTTTTATATGCAGTATGTTTCTGAGCTAATGAAATGACCTCTATGTGTCCATGTACAATCCCAATGTATGCATCTTGGATATGCCTTTGTAACTGATCACATTCAAACTTCACACATGCATCATACATCTTGTCATACTATGCAATTCCATTAGTTTCATGATTTGAGTTGTGAGTTGAATCGATTTCCACTGTATCATCTGGCAAATAATAGACCGCAGTGCTTATAGACACAAACTTCCATATTTACTCATTTGATATGCTATACCATGAACCATAAAAGTATGCTAACTGAGATTCAGTAACCAATAAAACAGTTATGATATTTTTTCATCTTCTACAGACTATGGTTTAGGTTATAAATGGAGTCCACAGAGCATTACAATAGAAGCTGGTGACACCGTATTGTGGGAATGGGGCATAGCAGGATACATCCAGGGTATCAGTTACGGTGTTCAGCAGACTTGGGATGCTAACTCTGTAGAGTATGATGGATCAGGATTTAAAACACAAAGCAGATCAGCAACAGGTTCGTATATATTCTTTTTGATAAAACCAGCCTTGCATGCAACTCACAATATGTGACTTTGTATATTTGATATACCGGGGTTCAAACACTGTATCTTCCTAGCCAGTTTTTAAATTGTATTCTATTCATACACGCTTTTGAATTCTGAGGATACCGTACTTGGTCTATTTATCGTCTTCTATCATATTCTACAGCAAGTCTCAGAAGTATTGGGGCAGCCAATTTGCAAACTCGCTGGCGATTAGCTAACTGCTTGGGTTTTGAATCTCGCTGGCGCTGTCTTGTGGTCACTTCCACTTAGGGAACTGATCATTACCACCAAGCCGGTTTCCTGTGAGTCTCCTGCGGCATGCGTTGCTTTACCGTACCGGTCGTTGCTTTACCGTACCGGCCGCTGCTTTACCGTACCGGCCGTTGCTTTACCGTACCGGCCGCTGCTTTACCGTACCCGAAGGTCATTAGCCGTACCGGCAAGGCCGTTACCGTACTGGCAGGAGGCAATTCACACTTCTGACAAGTTAATTTATGCATTGATTTTCCGGTTTACAGGTAAAATGCCGACCTGTTTAAATTTTCAGTTTTATGCACAGGATCGCCAGAAGAAAGCAGAACTGTAGAATTAATTTGAGTAGAATTTGTTTAAGTTTGTAGTTAATAGACTGTTTATAAATCCATTTTGTTCATGT